TTCCTCTGTCCGTGGAATTTCCCAGTCAATAATACTGGAGTGAGTTGCCATTTTCTTCTCCAGGGGAATCTTTCTGACCCAGGGATCCAACATGGGTCTCCTGCATTGCAAGCAGATTCTTTACCATCTGAGCCACCAGGGAAGCCCCAAGTTAATAATAATGCTTTAATATTGGCTCATTAATTGTCACAAATATGCCACACTAATGTAAAATGTCACTAATAGAAGCAATGTGGGCAGAGGTGGGGGGTAATATATTGGTACCATCTGTATGATGTGCTCAATTTTTTCTGTAAATTTAAGTGTCCAAAAATAAAGTCTGCTGATAAAAAAAAAAAAAAAATACTGAATAAGAGTGCTGCCTGGAAGCACCAGGGTGGATGAATCAGAGGCTCGGGCTTGACCAAAGAGGCGGGGGCTCGCTAAATCCCCGAGGGAGGGAGGGCCAGGTGAGTTGTTGAGAGTGTCGGAGTCCGTCCATGTAAAAGCACATATATCCTGAGACTCTCAGGAGAGAGGGATAGTGAAGAAAGCATCTTTTAGAGGAAGGACAGTAAAGACCCGAGTGTTAGGAGTAGATGCACGCAGCAACAAAGATCGATGCCGTGTGCCACAGCCAAACCCGGTTCAGCCAAACAAAAAAATGTTTTCTAAAATATATGAAACTTTATCGTCAATTCACTTCTAAAAATTATTTTATTGTGCCACAACACACATATCTTTTACCATCTTCTCCAATAAGGAGCTGCTTTTTTAGAGTTTTATGTATTTATTTTTGTCTGTGCCGTTTCGTCTTCACTGCTCGAGGGCTTTCTCGGTTGCCGCGAGGGGGCTCCTCTCTAGGTGGGGTGCAGGGCCGCTCGCTGCGGGGGTCTCCCTCTGTGGCGGAGCACAGGCTCTCGGGGCGCGGGCTTCAGGAGCGGCGGCTCGCAAGCCCTAGCGCGCAGGCTCGGTGGCTGTGGCGCAGGCTTAGCTGCCTGGGAGCATGTGGAATCCTCCCAGCCCTGCACGCTGACACGTGTCCCCTGCACTGGCAGCCGGGTTCCCTATTGCAATGACTCCTTTAAGTAGGCAAATTAAGCTTTAGGTTGGAGTTTCAAAATCAAAGTCTCAAAAATAAATGGAATGTGCAGATAGAAAAGTAGAAAGATAGAAAGTGAAGTCACTCAGTCGTGTCCGACTCTTTGCGACCCCATGGACTGTAGCCCACCAGGCTCCTCTGTCCATGGGATTCTCCAGGCAGGAACACTGGAGTGGGTTGCCAGTTCCTTCTCCAGGGGAGCTTCCCGACCCAGGGATCGAACCCAGGTCTCCCGAATTGTGGGCAGATGCTTTAACCTCTGAGCCACCAGGGAAGCCCATCAGTTGGAGCCAAGGTGGAGAGGGGGACGAAGTGAAAATTGCTCAGTCCAACTCTTTGCGACTCTGTGGACTATACAGTCCATGGAATTCTCCAGACCAGAATACTGGAGTGGGTAGCCTTTCCCTTCTCCAGGGGATCTTCCCAACCCAGGGATCGAACCCAGGTCTCCAGTATTGCAGGTGGATCCCTTACCAGCTGAGCCACCTGAAAAGCACTGTGAACCGATTCAATGTAATCAGAGGGATTCCCTGGTGGTTCAGATGGTGAAGAATCTACCTGCAGTGCAGGAGACCCAGCTTCGATCTCTGGGTCAGGAAGATTCCCCTGGAGAAGGGAATGGCTATCCACTCCAGTATTCCTGCCTGGAGAATCCCATGGATGGAGGAGCCTGGTGGGCTACAGTCAATAGGGTCATAAAGAGTTGGACACAACTGAGCGACTAATACTTTCAATATCAAACTCTCAAAAATAAGCAATGAATAGACAGAAAAGTAGAAGGCTAGAGTAGACCTGAAAAGTACTCTGAACCAAATCAACATAAGTAAGATTCATACAATTTTCACACAACAGTAGGATAACAATTCTATTCAAGTTCCCATAGGCTATAAACCAGGAGACATCAGAACATATTCAGGTACATAAAAAACAAAGATGCAAAAATTTCATTGCCCAAAGGCATTGAAATCATAGTCTGTTCTCTTATCACTGTAGCATTATGTTAGAAATCAACATCAAAAGATATTCGAAAATAACTCACTTATTTTCAAGTGTAATGTGATGTTTACCAAGAGAGATCTTTAACTTAGCCATTGAAAGCCTCAACAAAGTCATAAGACTGAAAAAAGAGAGAGGATGATTGCAGAGAAGAAAGCATGTAAATGAGAAATTAATGTCAAAATGAGAAGTTACTACCAAAGATACTTAAAAAACCCCAGGTATTTGGAACTTAAATGTCCACTTTTAAATGATAGTTCTATGTAAAAAGCCATAACAAGGGAAATTTGAAACTATTTGTAACAGAATAAAAATGAAAACATAATTTATCAGAATTTGTTGTATGTAGCTCAATGTGACTGGCAGGTAGATTCTTAACCAGTGGACCAGGAGCCCTCATTTACCATTTTAACTGTTAGATGAATCAAGGTGGGTTATGAAAGAATTCATAGAAGTGTTAACAAGAGAAGAAAAGAAAGTTTTTATTCACTTTTCCAGGGAGGAAAGGGGCAGAGGCATGGAGTGGCTCTGACCTTGGAGGTGCAGGGCTTGAGTCTTTTATTGAGTTTAAGGAGCAAGTTTCAGGAAAGAGGGGGCGCGCTCACATCTATTCTGGTCTCTAGCAGTATCCGGGCAGGCTGCTCTCTGTAAGATGCGGTTTTTCTGGGAATCTGTAACTTCTTGTCTTCAGTAATTTTCCAGTCCTTGGGTGTCTGACTGAGACTTGATAGTGGCCCTTGACAGGTGTTACTCTATTTTAACAGTGTTAGATGAGTTTTCACTTCCCCCCTCTGAATAGTAACTTATTCTTCAGTGTTACATGTGCTTCCTTGATGGTTCAGTGGTAAAGAATCCGCCTACAGTTCTAGAGATTCTGGAGACCTGGGTTCGATCCCTGGTCAGGAAGATCCCCTGAAGGAGGAAATGGCAACCCTCTTCAGTATTCTTGCTGGGAAAATCCCACGGACAGAGGAGCCTGGCGGGCTGCCGTCCGTGGGGTCAGAGTCGGACACGACTGAGGCAGCTGAGCATGCATGTACCGCAGTGTTACATGGAACCCAGCTGACCCATTTTTTGCGGAACTGAGGCTGAGGTCTCCTTTTCCATAACTTCTTCCTGTTGATCTGGGAATAGAGCTATTTTCCTTGGGAGGCCAGGTGGGTTGTCTTGGAAGTGAATGATCTGAAAGGCAAGACCCGTGACAGGGAAGAGACGTTTGGTAAGGGCAGTGAGGTTTTTTTTTTTAGAAAAGAGAGGAGAAACCTGATAACACAGGGACCGGGGCACTTACCTGGTGGTCCAGTGGTTAAGACCCCTGCTCGCAGTGCAGGGAACGCACGTCCATCCCTGGTTGGGGAACTAAGGTCCCACATGCAAAGGGACAAATAGGCCCACGCTCCACAACTACTGAGCCTGCACTTGAGTGCCCGTGCTCAGCAACTAGAGGTCTGGGCCCCACCAGGAAAGATCCCGCATGGCAACGAAGGTCCCCATGCTGCGGCTGAGATCCGACACGGCCAAATAAAGAAGTAAGGATTTAAGAAAGAAGAAAGACAGGAGCCCAAATGGAGGAGCAGAGTCTGGCAGTTACGGCTGAGTGCATGACAGCTGCAGTGCTGACGCCTGAAGCCAGAGCTGTGGCCTCAGTTACCGGGACCGACAGAGGTTCTCATTTAGTCCAGTATCGGGAAAGGTGGGGGAGAGGCCCAGGCCTGGTGTGGGGGTGCATCGGGGTCACAGGGGTACGGTGGTGCGGGTCTGGATCCAGGTAGGAGGCGTACAGAGATACGCCAAGGTCCGGAAGGAGGGTACGCAGGCTCTAAGAGTCATGTTCAGGGGAAGCTTGTACCTGAGCCTTCTAGCAGGGGGCAGATGACAGTTGGAGCAAGTCCCGCCAACGGGTTTGAGCAGGCAGACACTTTGGGAAGGCTGGAGGTGTTATTTTCCCAGGTGAGAAGATATTATTGAAAATCAAAGCTCCAAGCTTTTGGGGGAAAGACAGAGCCGATGTACCTGGGACAGGTCCTACTTTCACCTTGGTAGGGAAAGTGCCACGGGTTATCTATAGGTGAGGCCAGGCGGCAGACGGCGCATCTGACAGGAGGACAAACGGAAGTCCCACGAGGGTCGTTCGTTCAAAGAGAATGTCGCTGTGCTGTGCTTATTCGCTCGGTCGTGTCCGACTCTGCGACCCCACAGACTGTAGCCCGCCAGGCTCCTCTGTCCATGGATTCTCCAGGCAAGAGTACTGGAGTGGGTTGCCTTTTCCTCCTCCAGGGGGGTCTTCCCAACCCAGGGATCGAACCCTTGTCTCTTATGTCTCCTGCATTGACGGTGGGTTCTTTACCACTAGTGCCACCTGGGAAGCCCTCTTAATGTCTAGAGCTTGAGACACCTGTTGGGTAATTTGAGAGGTGAAACCAGGGTGATATGTTTGTGCTGAGACCCCCAGGGTGATCCCTCTTCTCACAGTTGTATCGTTAAGAAGGGCTTCTCTGAGGCTGGGAGGGCCAGGGCCGGAGCAGAGGTGAGGGCTGTCTGGAGGGAGGAAAAGGCTGACGGGAGAGAAGAGTTCCCTTCCAGGAGTTCATTTTCAAGTCCCTGGAGGGCCTCAGAAAGAGGTTCCTTTATCAGGCCACAATGGGATATCCAGACTCGAAAGGAACCAGTGAGGCCCAGAACCACCCTTAACTCCTTTTCGTTATGAGGCAGGAGAGAGGCTATAAGCTCTTTGTGTTGAATAATGATTGCTTGCTGTCCTGGGGACAAGAGAAATTCTAGATGTTTCACTGGGACTTGGTTAGTTTGTGCTCTGAAAGGAGAAACTCAGTAGCCCCGCAGAGCTGAGTGGGTGAGGAGGGCGGTGGTGTCGGTAAGGGTGGTCTGGGCGACAGAGGAGCAGGCCGTCAGCGGAGTACAGAAGATGTGTGAGAATGAAGTTAGAACACTCCCAACACGGTACGCAAAAATAAACTCAAAACGGATTAAAGACCTAAGCATAAGGCCAGAAACTATAAAACTCTTAAAGGCAAACAGGCAGAACACTCTCTGACATAAATCACAGCAAGATCTTTGACCCACCTCCTAGAGTAACAGAAATAAAAACTAAGATGTCCAAGCGGGACCTAATTAAACTTAGAAGCTTTTGTACAGCAAAGAAAACTAAAAACAAGATGAAAAGACAACCCTCTGAATGGGAGAAAATAATTGTGAAGGAAGAAACCAACAAAGGATTAACACCTAAAATATACAAGCAGTTCAATGTCAGGAAAACAAACAACCCAGTCGGAAAATGGGCAGACGACCTACACAGACATTTCTCCAAAGAAGACATACAGTTGGCCAACAAACTAACCCTAACCCAAACACATGAAAAGATGCATAAAAACGCTCATTAGAGAAATGCAAATCAAAACTAACATGAGATATCACCTCACGCGGGTCAGGATGGCCATCATCAAAAAAATCTATAAATAATAAACGCTGGAGAGGATGCAGAGACAAGGGGATCCTCTTGCACTGTTGGTGGGAATGTAAATTGATACAGCCACTGTAGAGAAGACTATTCCTTAAGAAACTAGGAATTAAACTACCATATGACCCGGCAATTCCACTACTGGGCATATACCCTGAGAAAAATGATAATTCAAAAAGACAAATGTGCCCCAATATTCATTGCAGCACTACTGACAATAGTCAGGACATGGAAGCAACATAGTTGTTCACTGAGAGATAAATGGATAATGAAGATACGCTACATGTATACCATGGAATATTACTCAGCCACAAAAAAGAACAAATTTGAGTCAGTTGTAGTGAGGCAGATGAACCTAGAGTCTGTCATATAGATTGAAGTACGTCAGAAAGAGAAAAACAAATATTGTACGTTAGTGTATATATTTGGAATCTAGAACAATGGTTCTGATGAACTATTGGCAGGGCAGGAAGAGAGATGCAGACACAGAGAATGGGCCTGTGTGTTGAGGCAGTGAATGCAGGTAGGAAAAGAATTTCTAGAAAGAGAGCATTTCAGAAGGGAGTGAGTTTATAAGAACAAAGAGCAAAGATAATGTGAGCACTGTGGGCCAACCTCCCGACAGACCAGGGAGAGTTGGCGGGTATTGTGAGTTAATAGTCAATTTTTACAGCCTCAGGACAAAGAAAATTTCTGCTGGCAGGTTGCCGTAAAATGATCAGTTAGGACAGGGTGTTTGCTGGAGCGGGCATCTTTGCCTGCTTTGGAGTCAGGAAGCCTGCTAGTGACGATCAGGAGGCTCAAGACAAAGAAAATTTCTGCTGGAAGGCTGCCGTAAGATGATCAGTTAGGACAGAGTGTTTGCTGGAGCGGGCATCTTTGCCTGCTTTGGAGTCGGGAAGCCTGCTAGTGATGATCAGGAGGCTCTTAGCAATGGTTACAGAGGGGCTCAGTCAGCTTTGGAGTGACCTTGGTTCTGGCTCCACTTCTGTGGCCTTGGGGCAGGACTCGCACCTGTGGCCTTGGGGCAGGACTCGACACTGTGGCCAGCGGGGGAAGGAGAGGTGGGACAGATTGAGAGGGTAGTATTGTCATGTAGACACAGCTCTTTGTAAAACAGACAGCTAGCGGGAGGCCGCTGTATGGAACAGGAAGTTCAACTCAGGGCTCTGTGATGACCTAGAGGGGTGGGATGGGGGGAGGGAGACTCAAGAGGGAGGGGGTATACATGCACCCACAGCAGATTCACATTTTTGCACGGCAGAAACTAACACAGCTCTGTAAAGCAATTATCCTTCAATTAAAAATTTTTTTAAAGAAATAAATGACTTAGCCACAACAAGGAAAGGAGAAATCTTAAATGCATATTGCTATGTGAAGGAATCCAGTCTAAAAAGGTTATATACTGTAGGATTCCAACTATATGACATTCTGGAAAAGGCAAAACTAGAGAGAGAGCAGCAAAAAGATCAGTGGTTTCCAGGGGTCTGGGGAGGGAGTGGGCTAGACAGGCACAATACAGGGGATTTTTTTAGAGCAATGAGACTATTCTCATGGCACTGCAATGATGCATATGTGACAGCATGTATTTGTCAAAACTGACAGACCCTTACAATACAAAGAGTGAACTGTAATGTGTGCAAATTTTTTTAAAAATTGGAGAGAACAGGAAATATCATAAAAAATGCAGACTCTAATGCAGAATCAAGAAACTCTAACTGTATTACAAATATGTGAAACAACCTCATGAAGAAATTGGGATGGGGGAATTTGCTGACTTAACCTTTGAAGTGAAGAGTCTGTAAGGTGAAGAGCAAAAGAAACTGCACGTGGTAGCATACCACGGTTGACAAGACTGTTTCCTTAGGAAGAATGGGAATTGCGATGCGGCTCTACGTGCACAGTGGCAGTTTAGTCACCCAGTCATGTCCGACTTTTGTGGCCCTATGAACTGTAGCCTGCCAGGCTCTTCTGTCCACGGAATTTCCCAGGCAAGGATGCTGGAGTGGGTTGCCATTTCCTTCTGCAGGGGATCTTCCCAACCCATGGATCAAACCCAGGTCTCCTGCATTGCAGGCAGATTCTTTACCGACTGAGCTACCAGGGAAGATTTGCTCTACATGCATAGAGGATTTGAGTAGTTTAATGAATTGACGACAATGCAGGAGCCAGGTTTCTCTCCAAGAAAGTGGGAATTTACAAATCAGCAAGTGTAGGAGGTGAGAATGACCCATGTAATGGATTAGAGTTGGAGATATCAGTAAAAACTCATGTTTAACTTAATGTAGATACAAATGATAGAAATATCTGCCTATGTGTATACACAGGTGATTTGGATTGCTGTGGCTGTGTAACTGTGACCACAACTGGGTTGCTTAAAGCAAGCAAAATGCCAGGGGCCAGAAGTCCAAGGTCAACGTGTCAGCAGGGCTGCCCTCTTTCTGGAGATTCTGGAGAGTCTGTTCCTTGCTTCTTCCAGGTTCTTGTGGCTTCAGGCATTCCTTGGCTTTTGGCTGCCTCACCCCAGTCTCACCTCCAGGATCACATCACCTCCTCCTCTCTGAGCGTCTCTCCTGTCTGTGTCTCTTTTATAAGGATATATGCTGTGGCACTTAGGGCCCACCCAGATCATCCAGGGTTATCTCCACATTTGCAAGATCCTTAAGTTAATCACAATTGCAAAGATCATTTTCCCAAATAATGTACATTCAGAAGATCCAGGGATTTAAGGTAGATATCTTTTTTTTGGAGGGGGGGGAGCATTTTCAGCCCACCACACACAGGTTAGTACACACTCATATTTCTTGTCCCTGTCAGCTGAGAGGGCCTAAGCAAACACCACCTGTTGGCAGCAAGTAGGTCCATTGTGCAAACTTTGGTTTCTAAGTCCATGATCCAATAGAAGCAACTGGGGCTCTTTGGATCAATGGCTGCTTCTACGACTGGGGTAGGATATATACAAGGCTTCTAGTGCCTTCTCAAATGACAACAATAACAACACATTTATGGGAGTATTTCAAAGTGGCAAAGGAGCCAACTGAGAGTGTTCTCAATGGCCAGAGCTGGGGAAATTGAACAAGATCAACAAATAATACTTAATTATGACCCAAAAATCACTATCCGTGAGTCTGTATTGGTATAAACAAATGATTGAGCAAATCAATAAGCTGGACAAATCTCCCATGAAGAATTCTAAATAATTTGTGTAGACACTTCACCTAAAGGAGGATGTGATGACCCACATCACAGTGTGGGCTGTGAATAGTGACTCCCTTCCAAATAGAACACTATGGAAAAGGGAGGAAAGAAGGTCACTTCCCGCTGGAGAAACCTGACCAATACTGCTTCAGCTAGGTGAGGAAGGTCAAGATCGATGGTTATGGCTCATAGTGATCATCTATACTGTTGATACGGCGTAAGGAAAACGACACTTCACCTCTGAGCTCTTCCTCCCAGAACCCAAAACCCTAGTTATCATAATAAAAAACATGAGGCATGTGTGAAATAGATAGCTAGTGGGAAGCGGCTGGATAACAAGGGAGCTCAGGCCAGTGCTCTGGGATGACCTAGAGGGATAGGATGGCGGGTGGCTGGGGGGAGACTCAAGGGGGAGGGTGTATATATATATATATGGCTGATTCACATTGTTATATGGCAGGAACCAACACAACATTGTAAAGCAATTGTCCGCCAGTGACAAAAGGAACAGGCAAATGCAAATTGAGGGACATTCTACAAAATACCTCACCTGTGCTCCTCAAAACGTGAAGGTCTTTGAAGACAAGGAAAGTCTAAGAAACTGTCACAGCCAGGAAGAGCCTAAGGAGGCACCACAATTAAATGTAGTGTCTTAGATGATGTCCTGGAATGGAAAATGGACATTAGGGAAAAACAAAAGAAATCTGAATAGAGTGTGGGCTTAATTTAATAATATATATATGTACTAATTCGCTCAGGCATGTCCGACTCTTTGCAACCCCAGGACAGTAACCCGCCAGGTTCCTCTGTCCGTGGAATTTCCCAGTCAATAATACTGGAGTGAGTTGCCATTTTCTTCTCCAGGGGAATCTTTCTGACCCAGGGATCCAACATGGGTCTCCTGCATTGCAAGCAGATTCTTTACCATCTGAGCCACCAGGGAAGCCCCAAGTTAATAATAATGCTTTAATATTGGCTCATTAATTGTCACAAATATGCCACACTAATGTAAAATGTCACTAATAGAAGCAATGTGGGCAGAGGTGGGGGGTAATATATTGGTACCATCTGTATGATGTGCTCAATTTTTTCTGTAAATTTAAGTGTCCAAAAATAAAGTCTGCTGATAAAAAAAAAAAAAATACTGAATAAGAGTGCTGCCTGGAAGCACCAGGGTGGATGAATCAGAGGCTCGGGCTTGACCAAAGAGGCGGGGGCTCGCTAAATCCCCGAGGGAGGGAGGGCCAGGTGAGTTGTTGAGAGTGTCGGAGTCCGTCCATGTAAA